ACTTGTGAGACAGTCAGTGTAATTGATCAGCGTGTAGCCCACCTATCATCAGATGATAGTGCTAAACCCAAACTAGTAGTGAAAGACAGCAGTGGTGGTAATCTTGCAGTTGGACAACTATCTGAGAGCCGAACAAAAACAGCTTCTGATCCACCGCTAAGTTCATCACCTTGTGTCACTCAGTCATCGTTGGTGCTGTCATCCACAATGAAACAGACACCCATCAACTCAAGTATCTTGTGCAATGACTATGGTAGTATCAGTTCGTTTGAAAGGACGAATATCAATGGTCAGTTTAGTGTGGATAAGCCAAGTGTAAAGGAGAGAGTAATTGTTAAATTGACTTGCATGAATAAAGGCATTTCTAGTTTCAAGTTACTATTTGAATGTTATTATCTTTGGTGTAAATTACTCTGTGCCTACGCTTGGTTGACCAGATACTTCGTGTGTTTGTTCGTCATCTGCGTTCTATGATACAATGACATGAGCGTGTTATCGTTCAGATTTGAGGATATAGCTGATAGAGGGAAGTCAGCAAATGAACTCTGCGACGATTTTCCAATCTAGGGCGTCAACCTGAGAAGGGTTGTAGGCGTACTGCTGTAAGTCCTACAATTCTTCAAAGGGTAGCCCATCAATGAGCAGTCAAATGCGCTTGGTGTGTGATTTTGTACATATGTTCATATTGTATATACTGAATTGATATCATCTGTCATCTAGCTGTTGGTAATTCTGTTTGTGTCCGGACGACTTTCACTTGGATCATCAACCTGAGAAGGAATGTAGGCGTACTGCTGTAAGCCCTACAGTTCTTCAAGGGTCGTTCATCAAGGCAGAGTCCGCCACTTTTATGTGCTGATTTTACATATGTTGGTGTTAAATAATTGTTGGAGTTCCAATTATTGTAATAGTTGGTTAGTCTTCATTGTGTCTAGGCATTCTACAATTTACAATCGTCAACGTGAGAAGGGTTGCAGGCGTACTGGTGTAAGTCCTGTGATTCTTCAAAGGAATTCCATCGAGACACGATCTGCAAGTTTGTGTGTACTGTTTGTATATATGTGTGGTGTGTCATATCAATTGGTGCTTTTGGCTTCACTGTGTTTAATTGCTGTTTTTGTATCTTGTTGTATTGCGTAATTTTGTTAACATTTTCGTCGTGATTACTTCTGAAGTTGTTTCTAGTCTTCTACATCCGTGAATGAATTGATTGATGTGAAAGACAGCAGATGGGTCGTATACGCCGGGGAGGCTAGGCTATTGCTGAGAATGAAATGCATACGGAGATAATTGTTAGCTGTGGTCCCACACGCCGGGGAGCGAGAGTGTAGACGATTGAGGCTTGTATACGTCACCGTTACTAGAACTGAGGCAGAATGAGTGACAAGCAGTCGCAGTGATAATTGGTAGTGAGTAGATAAGAGGGTGTGCGTAGAGTATAATGAGGTGGCGCTATGGTCACGTTGCGTTCTGCAACAGTCATCCTAGCATATGGCGATTGTGTTGCAAGACGTCGAGAGGATGCCTTTAACTGGAAGGCGCAGGTCATCATTGATGTGTGAGGTTGTGCTGTGGGTATGCTTGTGGTGTGTTGGCTTTTCTGTTTGTTTTCCACTTCAGCTCTGTCCGTGTGACCCAGGTTCTCGCAATGGCATCCAAGTCAACGTGTACTGGTTGTAATGGAAAAAGGGATAGATCCCTTTTTTGTTGAGGAGTGTCAATGTAGTTGAAGATTGAACGATCAATTCATGGTTGTTTGCTCAAAACCAGCTTCCCCAATTTTCGCGGAGGCATCAATACTCCAGTCATCGTCTCATCGGTTGCTGTTCAGAAAGAAGTCAGGAGACAACTGTTAGAATTAATATTGTGATTCATTATTGTAATATTTGTTCACAGACCTTAGTTGTAACATTGTTTATATGTTGCTGTTACAATAAAGTATGGTCGAGTCGCCAATCGGTGTTTTGGTTTTTGCGTCCGTTATTATTTGGCGTTTCTGAGTAACTTCAAGGAACAGCGTGAGCCCGAGTGCAGCAAGAGCTGGGCATTAACGGTTTACGAGACGTGGCTGACGAGGGCTATCAATGGATCTCAAAACGATCTCATTTAGTCATTTAGATGAATATATGTACAGGTTGTGGTGCGACTTCTCCATTGATATTCCCATGCTAAACTAGGAGATGTTTGTCTCATATTTTCGAGAGAGATACCCCTTGTACCCGTTGTATCCCCTATTTGTGCTTTTTTCTATGAATGTACGCCTCTTTAATGTGATTGGTCCGTTCAACGTCGTTTACTGATTGGTTGTGAGTGGTGTCTAAGGTTTAACTTTGCCACATAAGTTTCGTAATATTTATGTTGTTGTTCTGATGTATACAGGTACGGTTTCTTCTGAAGTATAAAAGTCGTATCGTGAGCTTGCTTTCAGAGAATTTATACCACTTGATGGAGGCAACCAAAGTTGAACAGGAAACAACGGCTTCTGCCACCGAAACATGTTCATATGTACACTTTCCAAAACTTGTACTTGGCATTATTCCGTTACCATTTGGGAATCAACAATAACACTGCAACCACGCATGAAAACAACTTGTGAGAGAATTGCATCGAAATGAATGAACTTGCGCTGAAGTAAAAACTTACGAAACAAGCGTGATATAAATGTTGACGTCAATGAAAGGCAAAATGATGCGAAACTCGACGTTAGTGCATAATATCCATGAAGATAATTTGTAAATGATCTAGTAGAAATGGAGAAGCTAGTTTGTGAACGAACGCTTAGGATCCATGTGTCCAAAATGGCCGATTAACCTGGAGGAAATTAACTTTCAAAAGCTGTATCCACCGCGTGACCTTGAGCATGCGGAATGAGATGGGTCTATTCAACTGATCTGAAAAAAAGTTGGACACATGGAATATGTATTTGACACCATCAAGTTAAGAGGAGTATTGTGCGTGGTTAGTCAAATACCCTGTGAAGCTGTGTCGCCTTATTTGATACTACGTATTCTGCGCTGTATTTTGTCACATTGTCATAGTAGTACTTTATGGACAATACTGTCCTGTTTCTTAGAAATCCAGGCTGATCTCATTCTCTTTCTTTCATGAGAGATATGCTCGCTCATTTGTGAAGAAATTTGATTGTTCTGTAACCACCTATATTTATTTTAATTGTACAGCTTTATTTCACACAATATTTGAACATGCACGCTTAGCATATAATTCTCAAAAACAACTGCTGTTTATTAGCTTATTGTTCGGTGTTGGGTGGTGGTACTCGGAGATTATTGGTTTTCTGCCACACATGAGAATCAATTAGTAATGAAGACGGCAGCATGCATTCGTAGAGACATCAGCTGAATTAGCTGGTGAAAGTTAGCTTCAAAATTCGTTTCTACCTAACTTTCCAAATCGAAGATCCACAGAAGGTACCTTGCCAATACTGCTGCGGGAGTTTTAGAAAATTCTTTAGGATGCTTACTGTGGTGGATTCTGTCAACTTTTGAAGATAGAACTATTTTGATTTGGAGATGACATTTCCATGAACATGTGATTTGCATGTCATCAGTGTCAAGAAATGTTAGACAGAGCCTTTCTAAGGACATACATGGGTAAGGAGGGCTATTAGGAATAACTGAAATATAAAACAACAACAAATGCAACCACTGATTACCTGTTGTTTCAACAAATTTTAAAACTATACTTTGGGCGTTCCTAGGGTTTTTAAAAATAGTTATCATAACTGATGGGTGCTACCGACAGTGAGTTTCGGGAATTTTAGGCGGCACATTGGTTTTAAAACATTGAAAAAAACAGGCAGCTCAGTCTGTTCATGCGTGAACTCTCTGATTTTGTCTTATATAAGATGTCAAATTCATTTTGTTACCGTTTCATATTTTGAGGGCTAAATACTATCTTCAGATGCTGGGAGACTAATCAACAGTTGAGTTAAAAAAGAAAAACAGATACATTAGCACTTAACACTCCTTCTAGATATACTCAACTGTTTTTCCGCAGTGGCCCCTTATTACTGGTTTTTTAATCTACTGTTTTCTCATCCACAGTACATTTATGCAGGCCTATTGAAGTATTGCCACATGTTATCAGGACTGCAAATGAGTTACCACGCTACTACTTCATCAACCCACTTAATTACCACATTTGGTTCTGGTTGCACCTATGTATTGCTTCCGAAGACTCTGACAATGACGGATACTGACAAAAACGCCTGCCCCCGGCAGCTGTTCAGTTTATACAAATAGAGATATGGGTCTATCGACTTCTCAGATGTATTCATTAAGGAATCTAATGCTAGGGCTACAAGAAAGGTGACTGTTACCGGCAAGAGAAGATAAAATTGAACTTAGAAATGTTATTCGCTGTAAGTAGGTGTTTAGGTCATACAGAAAAAGCTTGTACATTTGATCTTCAGGTATTGGTTTGTAGGGATTTGATTGATTGGTTACAGTGAGGACAAATACTCGCCACCGATGACGTTGGCTAGCGGTCGTGCTTTGTCATGAATTGGTAGAAATTGGAATCCATGAGCTTGCCTCTGGTCTGGTCCCAGTGGCTTAATGTTCCACGGGTTTTCTTTCTAACCAGAAGGTCCAGGGTTCGAACCCTGGTGATGGGTGCGTACTGATGAAGAGTCCCAAACCAGGACGAAACAGGCCTTCAGTGATTTCAAGTTTTTTTACTGATTCTCTAACCTATGTCAACTCATAATTAAATCCTGTGACGAATACATTTGATGCTATGCATCACCTACCTAGAAGTTATACCACCAGCTTTTGAAATGGTAATTGCAAGTGGTTCTCGAAAATCAAGTGGAAATCGACTGAAAGCATCTCCTTCCTTCAGATTCTTCGTGGTTTTTAACAGATTCGCAGCTGCAACATCATTTTGTTTTAGCCCACCAATGCAAGTGAGCTTCTCCAATGACCCGCCCAATCTGAAGCTGGATCTTTTAGCCTAACTTTCCTTGATGCTTGGAACTTATGGACAGTATAGCTTGTCAAGACAAAAAACCTTGTTCTCAGGATGATATGCCACTAAAATCACAGAAAAAATTATTGTCAGTTACTTCTGCCGAAACTGCAAGTGATGTTGTTGGAGAGGGACAGAAATCAACTGATGCCAATTCGGCTGAGGAATATGAAAGGCTTGTTCTTTCTCCTCCCCCTGTCCCTCTGAATCTTGAAGCTGCTAGTGCTGCTATTTACGAGGCAGCTTGCCGGTCAAGCTCCAGGTCTCAATCGATCAGCGGTAGCACACGTTCTTTAAAAGCTCACAAACATGAAGGATGTACTGACTCGCATAGTGATCACAGTGCAAGGTCTTCAGGTAACCTAATATATTTCTCAGGGCTTCCATGTGTTTTCGCTTGTTATAAGTCAGTTTATATATCATATCATAGGCACAAATACCCTAGTTTTGCTCAATAGTTACATCAAAACCATTTTCTCAATGGGTTTGGGATAACAGTTCAAAGCAAACTTACAATAACTCGGCTGTAGGGTAGTAACACTGATTAACATGGAGTTAGTCTAATCAGTGTTAAATACTACGTCTAGGTTGGTACCGTTAAGCTTCTGGTAGAATTTTATGATTGGTCCTACTTGCCGGTTTTCTGATCAATGCTTTCTTCGTCATTTTGGATGAGTCTTCTGGTTTTCGCTTCTTGTTAGTCCATTGTTATCCATGAATATATGACTAACCAAATCCGCCTTAGTGAAAGACTAAATTCCCGCAAACATGCATTAATGTTTACCTAAATACCTTTCACGTAATGTTAGCTCTTTTGAATGGTGCATTTATCTTACTACTCATACAAGTAGGTGGAAAAGCAAATAAAAACATGGCACTGTAGGGAAATGCTAAATTTAATTGGTTATCGTAGACTTGAGATGTCTGTCCACATTGTTCATCCGTCTATTTTTCGACACGAGAAATGTTTACCTAAAATAACAGTCAATCGGATGACTTAGATCCCATACTGTCTTCATTTAGTTACATAGCAAGTGAGAAAGCAACATGTTTGTGAAGATTACATTACCAATTGTGGTCTGAAAATGCAAAAGTGCTTCTCGACTTCTCACAGAACCCATTCTGAGAAACAAGCATCTTCTCGTATTCATAAATTTAGTTATATGCTTTCATTCTGAGGTACATTTGGTGATCAGACATTGATATTTACCGAACCCCAAAGCACCTTTACAAGCAAGTTGGTTGCAACAAATGGAACTACCCCAGTTTCACGTCTTATCTTCAAGTATTTATAGCATTAGTTTACAGACTGGGTGCTTGTCAGTGTCTTTGAAGTGGCTAATAATTTGAGCGTTTTTAGAATAAATTGAAGTGCTATAGAAGCATCTTGTGGGACTAATCCACAATGGGTATTGACAATAAATACGCATAAGGCGCATGTATCATTGCTGTTATAATAAAGCACATATTTGTAGATTCTTTGCATAATAAGGACTGCCAAGGTTGTTAAGAAATGCTTAGGTTGGTCGATAACACTGCAAACACTTTGTTTATCAACCAAACGCTTGGTAACGCATATTTTAAGCATAATGAATGACAGTAATACCTGTCTATGCAAACCTTGGTAGGCAGAGTGGGGTTCAAATATGTAACCATATGGTTGAGACTCAAATCCGTAACACAATAAGTCACTGCATTACTTTCATCAGTTGAAGTAGTTGTAATGTGTCGTAATCAATTATACTGGTCTTGCTACCGTTTGTAATGAAAGGGAGATGAAAGTCGTGTTGTGAGATCAGAGTAAATTTGATTAGTGTTAAAAACAGTCTTTCTGATGAAATCCACAATAAGGTGCGGATTGGTGGATAGTCATTAAATAATCTCAAATAGGCTAACTTCTGTAACAGTTGTATCTATTACTTATCAAGCGAATAGCCGGTGGCCCTTTTGGGAATTGATTAGTTTTTATTTTCGTTCCCAACCTACGTCGATCAGAGAACTATCAAGATTATAGAGTGCCGATTAGCTGATTCGTCATAGTTTGAGGCGATATAAGCGATATATACGCTGTTACTTGAAAAAAAGGAACCGGAAATGGTTAGGTACGTGTATGCATCGCCACAAAGCCTCCAGGTTAAAATTTGATGTAAGCTTGTTTGTTACGACTGTTAAAGACTCGGAGATTCTCTCTCTTCTTTTAAATTTATGCATCTTAAGTGGGCGCTAGTCGTAGCAGACACTGATAAACAGCGCAGATATAGTTCTTTATTCATAACGCATTTTCTTAATTTGTAAGCCGCTGAAATCAGGTGTAACTCAGTTCCATCTGTTTATGGGGATATAATTCGTCCTGTTGAGTTGTTTTTGCACAGCTTTCTCACATTTTGTTGATTTTCTATGCTGTTCATATGCGCAAGCCGTGCATTTTTAAGAGTGCATCCGTTCTAGCTAGTTAACTAATATTTAGTGTTATGCGGTCGCTAGCGTTATACAAACCTTACTTGGGACCTCAGCAACGCAAGCAAATAAAATCTCATCATTGCCTCTTAAATGTTTATTATTATTATTATCATCTTTCAAATACTGATTTATTACTGTTTCTGTTTTGATGTCAGAAAAATTAAATCAACAAAACCTTAAGTGATATGCATATTGTATGCATTTTAAGGTTTAAATTCTGTGGGGTCCTTATCAAGACATCAGCTTGAAAGACATTGATACGTTGCTATTGTTTGTTTGTATTGGACAGACTACCACATTTCACGAAGTATTAAAATAAATAACTTTGCCTTAGGGGATTACAAGTAAACTGTTAATAGGTATTGTCACAATCTTGAGGAGAAAGTAAAGAAAAAGTTTTTAGACATACTATAAGGCGTTTTCAGACTTTAGTATCTAACATATCCTCATGTTATAATTTAGTCTTGAATGTAAGTTGCTTTCAATAGACTTCTCGGTTAATTTTGTCAGTGTAAAAGTAGCGTAATGCAAATAGCCTCTGTATTTACGTTTTTATTAATAAGCCCTAGTATAAAAATTATATCACAAAACCATTCCCACTAATAGTCTTTTATGTGCTGGGATGTTCAGTCAGAGTCGGAAGTACGTGATAAAATGACTGAGTATACTCTTATTATTTTGACTACATTCCAACTAAGGTGAATTCCACAGCCAATAGCCTATTCCTGCTTATTGTAAACTTCTAGTTTAGTAATTATCATCATGCTAATTACTTATATATATATATATATATATATATATATACATCCTCGAGTTTAAGCTCAGCTTGATTAAATTGCAGTCGGTTACAGTTTGTGCATGTTTCTGGAGGAGTCATCCTGCTTCCGTAGTACTTGATCACACTTCAGTGCATGTCTAACCATACTTTGTTTTAGTTAACAGCAAGATCTTTGTCTTCAACTTGTGAAAGTGGGAGAATTAACTAGTCGTCAAACTGTTTGCTTGACCGAACCATATCGAAAACTAACTACTTACCTCTTTACTAAGGGAAAAAGCTGACTACGCCCAAGGGATGCAGTGTTTGCAGATACGACTGCTTATGACTTATAAAACATTCTGAGGATAAATGCTCAGTTGTGTAACAGTCGATTAGATGTCACTTTAGAATTACTGATACATACTAGCGAGGTTCTTAGACATGATCCTAACTCGTGTATTTATTAATATGTAACCTAACACTACTTCGTAAAAATCAGGATAAAGTTAAATGCATGAGACTTCATAAAAATTTAAGAGTAGTTCCACAAGCTGAAGATTAAGTATGCATGTGATTGTACCAATATTGTTAATTATGCATCACACCACCTAGTGTACAATTATGGGTTGCATTTTCAGTTTGGTGCATTTAATAGAAATAATTATCTAGTAATTGGTCATGTTGTTACATTGTTTTCATTGGCCTAGGCGTCTGTTTAGATTGTCATTTTAAGGGACTCAGTACGTTCCTCTGTTTGGTAATTGTGTTACCTGAAAAAACAATATCAGTTCATAATGTGGCACCATAAGGTGAAGAATGGTCATGGCGACCTATCATAACTCCCTAGAACAGTTTCAGAAGGTACGTGACTTAGTAGACGCAAGCATAGCTGATAATAGAAATAGTTGATGATGAGTATGCCAAATTATTCTCGTTTGATTTGCTGTCAAAGGTAAGGGACACCTTATATATACCTTTCAAGGTCAACTGAGAACTGCTAAGTTATCCAGTTAACTTCAATTGTATAACTTTTGGAGATATATCAAACCATTTGTGTTGCCTTCCATCTCTGTGGATAGAGTTAAACAGTCACACATTCCACCGTATCTACTGATAGAAAGTGTATTTTCACGGATGTAACATAATTCCCGATACCCTCAAGCAATTTGCTTATCCATTTGTTTAGGTAGTTCTTTTGGACTACTGTTATATGTGGTTGACTGCATAGATATACTTTTATGCACGAATTTTGTCTAGTTATTTCTTTTGAACCATTCATAACATTTAAATATCTGACTTTATTAAGTAGTTGGTAACCATATTCACAGACCATGTTTTCATTAATTACTGTTTATTGGTTTGTGGAAAAAGCATAGTATTATAACTTACAAATAGATATGATTGAGCTAGGGTTTTGGAATTTAAAGGCTTTGAAAAACATGCCAGTTGTACGACATTACTTTCATTACTAAATGAAGATACTCTTTAATTGTTCGTGGCAGAATAGTTATCTACAGACAAGGGTTTATCCTGGTAGATGAATTTTTTTGTCATTTTGCTGAAGTAATGATTTGTTTTTTGGTTCCTCATATTTTAGTTCATGAACAACATAAACCAAGCAGCAAAGAAGTTCTACCCATCCACGCAGATACAAAAGTATCAAAGTCTCCAAGCAAATGGCGTCGTTATCTATGCTGTTTTCCAGAGAAATCTCACCGTTTACCCCCTACTAAACAGAATAATAGCACTCCTGTAAAGCATACACGGTCTGAAAATTCGAAACCAGCTGGTGATGTAAATGTTTCTCAGTCTACTAAAGCAAATGACTCTGTAAATCTCCGTCCTGTTAAGGGAGCAAAATGTAAGAAAACAAAGCGTTCTAAAAAATCAAAAGATTTACCAGTCAGTGGTATTGTTGGATATACAAATGATCAGACTTCCCTTTGTCATCCGTCCGTCGAGGATGTGCACTTACCTGTGGAATCAAGTTATCAACCTGTTCTGCCCAACACAGTACTGGATGCATTAGGATCAAAATCTGAAAATTATGCTAATACAACTTCTATATCTAATGGTTGTAACTTCACTGAATCTGATGTCCACACAGAGTGTACAGTTCCGCATACAACTGTAGTAGCAAATGCTAACACATCTAAATTACACTATTCTTTTCGACTCCCTACGTTTAAACGTCACACAAATGATTTGTATGGTGTAAAAACTATTGGAAATAATGAACGTCAATGTCTAAATGTACAGGTGAATAACCCTTGCAATATTGAATCAACACATCATGTAATTCATCAACAAATACAACCTTTAAATCCACCTTGGGTTGAATGCGACCATCCTGATGGTGATCGTATTATACCAGGTAGTTGTGCTCATGATCAGTATCCGATAAATTATGACAGAAATGGTGGTCAAGGTGATGCTTCCTCTGAGAATCTAGAGTCAGTAAGTTAATACTTTTGTGTAATTTTCATGTAGATGATAAAATACTTTGGTAAAGTTTTTATAAATTTGGAAACTTTTGTTTTTGTCATTTACATTATCTGTCTGTCTGTTTTCGACATAGAACTTTGCACTGATGTGCACCAGTTCAAGTCGCCACACTCCCTCCATGTATCACATAAAGCAAGAGAAGAAAGTAGAAGAAATGAATAATAGAGACAGTAAACAGAGGTGTGATACAAAGGAGTAGTAATAACAAAGAACAATATGGTTTCATTGGAAGTCATAAGTCACAAGGAGTGGATGCATCTGCGCTAGCTACTGAGAACGATTTTGAGCTAGCCATATCACCAGATGTTTCCAGCCTCCATTGGTGTTTACCGTCCCGAGGGTCACAACCAGCCAGTCAGGAAGTCTACACCCTCCTACGTGACTGACTTAAACTAATTGTTGTAGGTTTCATTGGCTGGTTCCATGTTTTGGTTTGACCGTCACTAGCTAGCTCTTTTCCAGCCTGACCAATCCTATGTCAGCTAACATTGCCTGTTGTCGAGGAAGGCGATGACTAGGCATGCATGCGTAACACATGTCCTAACCATCTCAGTCGATGTAATTTCATAGTCTCGTCGATTGACTTCCCCTCTTTACCTAGCACTCGACCGTGGCCTAACCTCAATATATCTCACCTTATTATACCACTTCACACGGGAGATAAAACGCAGGCATCAATGATCAAGGGCAGTTGGCCAGCCTTTTCGTGTCTTCCACTCTCAATGGCCAGGTCTCACAGCTGGCCATAAGGGAGGACAGAGCAGACTGATGAGCAGTACATCCCGCCCTTTGGTCGATAGCCAACGGGATATCACCTCTAGGCCAGAGACGACGTAAACTGGCATATGTGATGTTACGAAGGTGACTGAGTCTTAGAACGAGTGATGCTTGAATCTTGAAAAGACGAATGAACCAAGAATTTAGGCTTTATTCAGTTTACAATGAAGCCGGAATGGCCCCTCAATATCACATAAACTCTTTAAATAGACAGATTCACTATCGATTAATTCATTGATAACACATCGTAGTTGTTTTAAGCATGGTTTAATGTTGGCTTCACAGACATCATTAGCCCTCTGTATCCGTACCTAGCTGAGATTTCGTCAGATATCAACCCGTTGGCACTAGCTGATGGTACTTCCCAAATAAGCAGTGTGGGCAGCCGGGAAGTAACAACCGCCTACACACTTCTAGAAGCACACGAAGCCTTCCTGAGCATCACTCTCCTTTACTCACATCGCCTTCCTCATCTTGCTTCTGTACTACAGTTAGTACTATTCTGCAGGCTAGTGAGTCATCTTCACTTCACTCTGTGACCACAAACAACGGTGAGAGCCATAGTAACACCTCGGATAACCTTTTAAAGCCACGTCACCAACTTCATATAGGAGCACTTAACGTCAGGACCCTGCTGCCAAATCGGACAACAGGCATCACTGGCAAGAAATCTGGCATCTCGAGCCATTGATGTATGTTGTGTTTCGGAGACACGCATACAAGACCTGAGTGTGGTAGCAACATTGTGTATTTAATCATCTATGAAAGTTTCATTTCTAATGTTCATGTTACTTTCATGTCTCACACTTATCTGTGCTACTTCCTAGGAGAAATTTATCCGGGAGTGATTCTCTGTTGTAAATAATTTTTCTGTTTTGAAAATGAGCTATGACGTTAACTTTAGTCGTACATTTTCTTACACTTATTTAACAGATTGGAATTCATAACAATGAGGAATATATCAGTTTAAATAATGCTATCGACAAATTTCCCGTTAGACTAACAACGTATTAATTTACTTAATATTTGATAGCTATATATAGTGAACCATTAGTCAACTGGGTTCACTAGGTAGTTTCAAGATGCAATGATGTAGTTTCGATCATTTCTGAAAATACTTTTCCCCAGGACCTCCTGAATAGATTAGTTTTTCTCAAACTAGTCACATCGTGCAATAAACAAATTAGGTATTATAGTCTACCACAGTTCTTTGTTCCTACTATGCTTTTTATTGTCTTTCTGAATAGTCTCACTGAGTACTTCACTATGTTGTTTTTGCATCTGGTGCATTCAAGTTTCATCCGGTTGAGTGCTTAGTGCTAAGCACAATGTCAGGAACATTAGTCGACGTCGACTAAGTTCATGTTTTGTAATAATGAAGTAGTAAGTAGGATATTGAAAAGTTATGGCTAAAACACAGTTTCAAAATTCTATTTCTTGCAAATCAGCAACCATACATCCTTCTTAAAAATGATTTTTTAAAAGTATTTTAAAGTATTAATGCATTTCTTCAACTTTCTTCTCTTGCTTTATGTGATACATGGAGGGAGTGTGGCGACTTGAACTGGTGCATATCGGTGCAAAGTTCTATGTCGAAAACAGAAAGACAGACAGACAAAGTATTTGACTAGATAAATTAAAACAGCATCGGAAAACTGATTATCCACTTGAAATTTTTACTGGCAAGACTGAACAAAAGTTAGATTTTAAAAGAAATTATCCAATGCATAAATTAAGCATTCATATAAGAGTGAAACTTGAGCATTGTGCATTGATTGTATCAATGACTCTGTAACTGATATCAATTCCATAACGTAATCTGATTTGAATTCAGTCATATCCTTTGAATACCCAACATCTGAAAATCCACGTTTGTTAGTTTGTTGGATATCATGGTATGGCTCACTGGATGATGCTCCAAGTACATTCTGTGGTCGCATTTAGATTCTCCCATTTTTCAGAACTTTTGTAGATAGTAGATTTATTATTATTTCCTCTAATTCCTAGAGGTACACAGGGCTACAGCCGCGCGTCTCCATTACGTTCGGTTATCTGCTAGAGTTTTCACCTGGCTCCAAGTCTGCCCACATGCTTTCATCTCCTCTTCACATGACCTCCTACATGTCACCCTTGCACTGACGACCAGCTCGCCGCTTCCCTTTCGGGTTCCACTCGAACAATCGCTTGCCTAGTGATATCACTTGATGGTTTGTTTCCTCAGGGTATGACTAGCCAATCCATCTCCATTTCTTCCTGCTTATTTTTTGCACAATCGGTTCCTGGTTGGTTCGCTCATTGCCAGAGATCCCTGTTGCCGATCTTTTCTGGCCGGCCATCTGATCTTGAGTGGCATTGAGCTAAGACAGCTATCAATGAAGGTCTGTAATTTGTTTGAGGTGATCTTCACGACGTGCCAAGTCTCTGATCCGTATAGTGAGTAGCACTGACTGACTTCACATTTGAGTTGAAAATCCGAATCTTATTTTTGATGCTGAGTGCTGTTGACTTCCACACAGACTTGAGATGGTAGATTATATTTATGAAATGAATTTTAGGAACAGGTATTTCTATTCAGAACTATGTGAGGTTCCTTAATAATTATAAACTATGCCAAAACCTGTCTGTAATAAGTTCGTGCATTATGGTGGAATAGATCGACTAATTAGGACAATATTTATCTATCTGTTTACACAATGATAAGTTTTTGATTTTGGTAATATTTCAAACAAAATATCAAATCCATTGGGGGGTTGTTTGACTAACTAGTCCCTATACCCAAAGCTAATCACCGGTAGTGTGATTGTTTGATTGCCAACCTAGTTTATTAGATGTGAAACCAATGTTAGTTTTTTCTGTCAGACATATTCATGCATAAAATAACTTTGGATGAATATATTAACAACAACTTTATAAGTATCACTCATGAATTGACATGTTCCCCTTACAATAAATAACACACATACATATATGTACAGGCGAATATACGCATATTGTAACAACTTACAACAACAACGACAAGTTGACAGTCTCAGTACAAACGTATTTACTAAAATCCAAGTAATTTTGATGAATAAGCTGTGGCCTACACAGCGAAACGTTCAAAACGGAAATCTTTTTACATTGCTAAATTTTATAGTGTTTCAATCTGACTCGGTGGTGAAGCCATACCAGGCAATTCGCAACATCTATGACTTGGATATTAAGTAACCTTATAGATATAGCCTAAACGTCTTTCTTACCTTATTGGTATATAAAACTAAATTCAATTGTTTCTCAAACTTAACAATTCTGTTTAGTGTCCAGGAGTGCTGAAATCGCTTAATTATTTTCTCTTCCTTTTTTCTAGTTGTCACCTGGTATTGATCTGTTAGGTGAAGTAGACTCAGACTGTGTGGACAAAAAGTGTTTGGTCTTAGATCTAGACGAGACGCTGGTGCATAGCTCCTTTAAGGTAAGTTAAATTTTATTCCGTACTTTTACTACTACTATTATTATTATTTTTCTGTCATTCAATGTAACCTAATCCACATAGGTGTTGAAGTCTTTTTCTTTTTGAACATTTTGGCGGGTTTTTTCTGTTGCTTCTGTTGATGAATAAGATTTGTAGGCAATGGTATGAATGAGGACTTGTATCTATTGTATCCTTATATTTATTCGTCTAGTTTTTACTTTCTCTCGTACTTTTCTGTTCGTTGGAGTTCTTATCATTTTTCCTCTTCTTTTTCTTTTATCTTTGTGCACTGATGTATGGATTGGAGCAACTTGAACTTCTTTCTGCACAAAGCTGTACTTTGAAACTCATTTGCTGAGTTATATATAAATAGCTTAAAATGAATAGAGATGCGGTGTAAAATTAAATTAGAAAACATTATTCTACTTTTACAATGGAATATTAACATAGAAATGTGAGTAAAAGTAATCAGGTCAAAACAATGAAGAATGTCGTCGGTGTTATAATTTGTATTAGTGAACTTCACTTTTGTAGATGTAGTTTACAGGAAGGGAGTAATATTAGTAATAGTATTAGTAGTTTCATTGATTGTGAAGTTATTTTAATAGTAGTAATAAGTTTCTCGCAGAACAAGAGAGAGAGAGAAAATTAAATAGAATGCACAAAAATAATCATTAAAAAGATTGATGGTAACCTATATTTTTTAAAATATATATGCTGTCTTTTTAAATTCAGAAATAAGTTCTTTTGTGTTTAACGACTATCATTGATGCTTCAAAATAGAGTAGTAACGTTGAAAGTTTGTTAGTGTTTTTTCATTTTGCACATTAGTTTGTTTATTAGATGTATCACACAGTCTGTGAAACAGTATTATTATTTACTGGATGACACAGTTTCGAACAAAATTTATTATTGTTCATAATCATATCAATTGTAATCACACGACTTCGAAACTTGTGTTTTATAGTTTTCTTTGTTCTCTCCTATTTGTCATCGTTAGGGTAGTAGAATTTTCCGGATATCTGGGTGGACAGGTGTTGAATCATTCCTACTACATGTATTTGCGGTTGATTCGATAAATAAAGCCTCAGTCTGTTATCAATATCTCCCTCCCCCAGCTGTAAGATTAGATTTCAAAACTGTCATCTTATCCAACCCATCCTATTGAATGGTTATATAACTGCATGTAGTAAGTGATATAGCCGAACTATTCTCGAGATTTCTTATCTTATTCGGGTCAACCAATCTAGATTTCGCTGCTAGGTTTTTATGTTTGACTAGTCTGACTGGCTGCCCCTGTTCTACTAGTATGACCTTTATATTTGACCTGATAATCATTCCAGCAGGGTATTAGATAAACTAAATTGTTTTGTTTTAAAGGATCCACAGGATTGATCCTTCAACCCGCAAAGCTTGTTTCTAATTGAGTTTGTGGTTGGTTTGAATGCCAGCCACCTTTATTTCTGCCTTATTGAGAATCGTGCGTAAGGTGGTTTCCGAGGTTCCTTCCTTGTATGGAATTACTACTGATGATTATGGATTACTACTGATAACAATAATAATAATAGTGATAATAGTAATAATATTAATGACGACACCAACAATAAAGAATCTCAACCATCAGTAGTAATTCCATACAAGGAAGGAACCTCGGAAACCACCTTACGCACGATTCTCAATCTCTGTAATCTTTCATATTCCTTTCTACCATAACCCATTCTGTTTCACTCCTATATTTGTCAAACTCTATTAATTCTCTCCACTCATCTTCTTGTCTACCTCTGTGTGCTATTTGGAACGTGGCAACTCGAACTGCTGCACTTCGGTGCCAAGTTCTATGTTGAATCCAGACAGACAGACGATTCTCAATAAGGCAGAAATAAAGGTGGCTGGCATTCAAACCAACCACAAACTCAATTAGAAACAAGCTTTGCGGGTTGAAGGATCAATCCTGTGGATCCTTTAAAACAAAACAATTTAGTTTATCTAATACCCTGCTGGAATGATTATCAGGTCAAATATAAAGGTCATACTAGTAGAACAGGGGCAGCCAGTCAGACTAGTCAAACATAAAAACCTAGCAGCGAAATCTAGATTGGTTGACCCGAATAAGATAAGAAATCTCGAGAATAGTTCGGCTATATCACTTACTACATGCAGTTATATAACCATTCAATAGGATGGGTTGGATAAGATGACAGTTTTGAAATCTAATCTTACAGCTGGGGGGAGGGAGATATTGATAACAGACTGAGGCTTTATTTATCGAATCAACCGCAAATACATGTAGTAGGAATGATTCAACACCTGTCCACCCAGATATCCGGAAAATTCTACTACCCTAACGATGACAAATAGGAGAGAACAAAGAAAACTATAAAACACAAGTTTCGAAGTCGTGTGATTACAATTGATATGATTATGAACAATAATAAATTTTGTTCGAAACTGTGTCATCCAGTAAATAATAATACTGTTTCACAGACTGTGTGATACATCTAATACACAAACTGATATGGAATTACTTACTACCACAGTTCCCAAGTTTTACACATATTAATTTGTTCATTTTATTCTAAGGAAATCAAATGAAAGCTAATTAAATTTGCAAGTGATTGTGGGAGACTAATCAATGTGTAATATTCTTGACCCATATTATTGGTGTAAGTTATAATCATTCTATGGTAGAGAATCTTATAGTCTTCATAGTACAAGTAATATAAAGAAAGGAATGTCTAAAACAGTATGTGAGGTTTATTACTTGAATTACTGGGTTGCCTTCCATCCAACACAATACATCACAATTTCTCTAGTTATTATTGTTGTTGTTTTAACCATTCAATTATGTCCCTGTGTCGCAAAATATACTCGCGCAAATTTTCAATTGACTTTGAAACTACTGGTGTGTGTATATCTTCGAGACAAAAGGTGACATTTTAGGAATTAGTTTATGCTTCGAATTCATCAGCACTGCGTCACATACTATCCTACAGTTTGAGATTTTACTTGAAAATCCTTCATGAAGAGAGTGTATTACGCAATGAGTTATGCGGAGAATTCTGTACATTGTGTGAATGTTTTTTCCCGGAATAAAGCTATTATTATTATTGTGAAACTGGAATGGGGTGGTATTTAAACCTACGAACTCATTGGCAAACCAATTTTTTCCCTTCAAGAATCTCACTAATTCAGTTAGACAGTTTCATTTAACTTATGAACTACTACACAGTGAATGTGAGGTCAAAAATTCGTAGCTTCAACCAGTAGATCAGGGTTGGTTAAATGAATTTTAACTAAGAATAGGTTTTTTGAACCTGCTAGGCTAAGTAGTCTGGAAAAAATGTGAGCAACTACCACGTACACACTTGCATAAGATTACAGGGGAAATGCATTAAAAATTTAATGTAGTTAGGTGAAAAGAGAGGTTAATCAATAATCACACCAATATATATATATATATATATATATATATATATATATATATATATATTGGTGTGATTATGAGCAGTGAATTGTATTCGAAACATCATCAAGTTATTAATACTCTATCGCCTTGCCTTATATCAAATAAATTTATGTAACATGAAGACCATCCAGCATATTCTTCATCCTATTTAGGGTCATGCGTAGATTAAGTGGTGCTCGGAGGAAACAAACCTGAGAAAGCCAGGCAAGCTTTAGGCCAGGATGAGGATGTATTGATCATAGCTTCGACAAGTCCTTGGACATAGGCGTCCAACACTTGCCATATTTCTTGATATAAAGGCGGAATTCGACTCCGTCGACTGAAAAGTGCTGTAACAATATCTCGCTGTGAAGGAAGTATCGAGAAAGTAGATCACACTAAACAAGGCATTTTACTCGAACTCACTCAGCCGTTTAAGAGCTTGTAGTTTATTTGTCGTCCGAAGTGATGCCAACCTGTTGTGTCCGTCATGGATGCTCATTCGCCTCATCTCTTTTTTTATTTCATCATGGGTGTACTAATGGAATTGACCCTAAGTGACTTCAGCGACTTGGGGATTTAACTTGTTACCAGGGGACAGTCTTGTTGCGGTGTGGATTATATTGTTCTCCTTAGTCTTCTGGACATCATAAGCAGAATCCTTCGAGTGTTTGACATGTGATTCACTCCTGCCAAATGTAAAACAATACAGGAGGGATGGTCTGTAATGACTGCTGGTATACAGATAGGGAGTGAAACAACTTAGGAACAAAACGCTTGTGTGTCCTTCGCCAATCACTGCCGTAGACGTGAAATCCGACCATCGATCAAAGGACATGCTTTATGCAACAGTTTACCCCGGCTGGGAAAGTGGAAGATGTGAAGAGGCTAGCTGTCTTTGACCACAAATGTTCGCGTTCAATCTCTCGTTTTCAGTGGTATGAAATTGTGAGTGACTTCGAGTTTATTCCATATCAGATAAGTTTGTTTGGTTTATTAATATCTGGATGATGTTTCGATCGCAATTTCTCGCTCATAATCATATCAATTTGAGGTTAGCCTTAGAGTATTAGGTAAGGAGCAGGGTGAGTCAACCGGTGAGACTGTGAAGCTTCATCTTTTGAGACGACACCCGTTAAGCATACCGAGCAGCCACCTTCCTCGATGGCCTGTATTAATCGACATAGGATCAGGCTGGAGAAGAGTTAAGGGTGGTGAAACCGAAATCTGGTGTCAGTTCGTAAAGACTTTGACAGTTAGTTTGGGCCACGTAAGGTGGTTTAGATCACCTGGCTTGGGATACACGGGATGCTAAAATCAGTGGCTGGAGGCTGTTGGTGATGTGGTCAAAATCGTCCCCAGTAGCACACATACATTTACTCCCTGTTATTTCCTGTATCTACTAAGATGTCATGTTTTTTTTGTTTTTTACGTTTTCTTTTCTTTCTCTCGCACATTTCTGCTGATTATATTTCTTCAGAATCTCTTTTCTCTCTCTTCTCTCTTCCTTGTATGCTACGTGGAGTTTGGCTATTCGAACTGATGCACTTTTGCT